CTACTGCGTAGATTGTCATCCTGGGAATCTAATCCTTAGTGTTGCACTAACATGTAATCTGCACTTCGTCTCATGTTTGGTCAACACATCCGCAACCCTAACACGCCAAGGTCTACTGCACGTCGCATGCGGTCCAGTCACGGATCCGGGGTTGCGCAGCTGTCAGACAACAGCTCCAACCCCATAGAATCGCGAGACATGGGAGCTGCCGCCACTTAAAACTGCATCACGCGATGCCCGTTTGGCCGAATTCGTCCAGCACGAACTGCACTTCCTCCCAAGTCAGCAATTCGTAAAAACGTGGCCGTCAACCGCCGTAGTCTTGACTGTAGTTTGCTGTACGGATATTGAATAGCGGCTGGCCGATTGAGTTCGGATCCCGGTCCCCCCTCATCCGGTCTGTCCCGGTCACATACTAGAGAGCAACTAATTAATCCCCTTTTTATGCAGGGTCAGCTTGACAGCACAGTCAGCCTTTGACGAGGCATCTCAAATGAATTGATAGTGACTTGAATTTTTGTTTACTCGTTGGCGCATGCCTCATCCCATGGACCTCGATGCGCCCTTTAAACACCGAAACCAGAATCGAATACAATAGGTATCTTGAACCATGACTGCTCTTTACGCCTCCGTCCCTGATCACCGCACGCCTATCGGTCGAGGCTTGATCATTCATACCCCCCTCGCAACCCACAACCCATCCGCATCTCCGCCTTACATCCGGTTTTGGTCACCGAATGGACCGTGCGCTTCATACGCAGCAGCCGGTTGCCCATACGACATGAGAGGCTGGTTGTCCGAATCGTGAACTTGCACAGCTGGCTGTCGCTTGGCCGCCATCTTCGCATTCATAGCCGCCTGCGCCCTTGCCGCGTTGCGCTTCTTCTGCTTCCTCTCTTTGCAGCAAAGGAACGTGATCCACGCAATGGAACCCGTGATGGCCACGGCGAAGAAGAGCGCTACAGCGATGCCGCCAGGGTAGACGGTGTTGTCCAGCACCTTGCACGAAGGGTTGCCCGAGTTATCGTTCTTGCAGAGCAGGCCCGCAGCGCATGTTCCGAACACCACCTGTGTCGGGAAGCAACCTTCCTTGAGAGTTTTGCCTTTCTGCACGCCAGTCGAGACAACGGGGCATTGCGTGGTCGACTTGGTCGTCGACGTAGAGCATGTGAGCTTGGAATAGGTTGCCGTGCCGGAGCTTGTGCTCGTGGCTGTCTCAGCGGTTGCCGCAGTTGCCTCTGTAGTCTGACGCGCGAAGACAGTGACATGACGTTTGCGCAGTTCCGCAGGGGCGCTGCCGCTGTTATCACACCTGTCCAGAGTCCACTGCGACTCAATAACGGCTTCGGCAAAGTCGCAACCAGCATTGATGTAGCATCTCTCCAGATCAGTCTGTGTAAAGTCGTCGGTGAGCATCTCTATGCAGTGAGCCACGGATCCAGGTTCGCCACAGGCTGCCAATCTGGCCAGCTCGAGGTTTCGTGACCGAAGGCAATGCAGTCTCGCCGGCGACAAGGCCGAGGCCGTGGCCACAAAGAGGAGCGCAACAAGCGCCGATGCGGACTGGGATGAACGCATATTGCCCGGGGTTTTGTGGGGTGTTGCAAATGACTGCCGGGACGGGGGTCCGTGGAAGGTGGGATTGACAGGTTCGGAGTGGGTGCTCAATTGCCGGCCTCGGAGTATCGGGAGACGAAGTGGTGCTGTGTGACGAACTGCTGTTGGGGTTTGGCAGCTTCCTGATTGGGAAGATTGGTTCGGTAACCGGCAGACTCGATTCCCAGTGCCGTGAACAAGCTACCAAGTATTGAAGGCGACTTCTGATGTGGTAGTGAAGATGGGAGTCGGATAGTCGGGAAGAGACGATCGGTGTCTACTTGGGATGTCACTGCGATGGTGAGGAGCGAATATGTAAGAGCATAGGAGGTAAGAAGCAGGAAGAGGGAGGAAAGCAGGATGACCTACGCCGGATAAGCTGGGAATGAGCTTCAATAAAAAGAAGTGAGGGAGCTGAACGCCTCTCGGCGCCTCGGAGTTGGGTCGAGCCTGGTGGTATCCATTTGGGCTTGTTGCTGTTGTCACCTCACCGTCCTTGTCTAGCTGCTTGTCTCTGGCTGTGAGCTGAGGGACGCCGACCACGCCAACGCCAATGCCACGAGAGCAAAATGCACCTCAGCACGGGTAGTCCAGTGCCCGTTGGGGTCGGGATTGGTCATGTCTTGGGTCTCCGCTTAGGCTCACTCTTTTCGTTGCTTACCTGCAGCTTAGCAGACCCAGGCTTGGGGGGCTTGTAAGGCTGGGGCCTTCATTCCGCAGCAGCTCAGCTCTCCACGGAAGAGACGGTACTGTGTGGTCTCCTTTGGACTCTGTAGGCTTGAGTTTGTTGGTGGTGCGACCTCATGCTCCCGCAGCACAGCCCTTGTATTAGCTCGCCCTTTGGTAGTCCACCCGGCGAATGGGATTCAGAGTCGTGGTGGCTGACGGCGCCGGCCTCCATAATTAGCTCTGTTGGTCGCATCTGCGTCTGTACGGGCGGTTCACGATACCTTCGCGTAGATTCGCCGTCTGATCTCTTCTCGGTTCTTGCAAAGCATGTCTCATTGTTCTCTCGAGAAAACCTCAACTTCGCATCGTTCGAAGTCAAGTACCCAGAGGTCTGAGTTCGGTCCCAAGGTCGTTCTGTCGATACAGCCGAGCCTCCCCACGAGGCTCTCGATTCTCGAGAACCGCAATGGGCCCAGAATCCACACCCTCAAGCTAAAATAGCATATGCTGTTCCCGGCACGCGGCTTGGCCCAAATCGTCTAAGAGGAAGGGCACAGAGCAAACTCTAAGACTTGGAACCCCACGAGGCAAAGGGGAACTTGCACTGGATTTCGGAAGATGGGGCCAATAGCAAGCCGCCGCACTGGGTTCGCATCTGCCTTGTCGTGGTCCAATTCCGCCATGTAGCATGTAGCAGGCTGCAGTGTTTTTCATCCGGCGGGGGTTAGGGAATAGCTTCCCTGATGGCTGAAGGACAGGAAGAAGAGAAGAAATCGCTCGCTTGGTGTTAGTGCTGAGGGCTGTGATGATTGATCCCTGCTGCGGCTCCAACTGGCCGCTGGTTGTTTAGTTTAATTTGCCCGTGGCTGAGACCTGCCACCCTGTAAGCTGAGCCAACCCCTCGTCTCCGTTCCTATTCGGACCACACCATGCACCAGCTGAGATCCAACTGATCACTAGACGTTGGATGCTCCTCGTGGCTGGATGATTGGATTGAGCTTTGCGACGGTTCAGTATGTCGTTTAGTCTGCAGATAGGCAGAAAGAGGCAAGCAAGATGATTTTCCTGGCCTCGTTCCTGCAGGCTTGTATTTGCCCTGTTGGTGCCAGTGCCATTCCTGCGAGAGCGTGGTTAGGAAACGGCGCGGCGATGCGGTCAGACGTTGGGAATAACTCCAGACGGGCATCCACCTGAGACAAGGTCGCCATTCTATTAGCAATCAGAAAAAAGACGAACACGGTCAGCAGGGCCTAAATCTATGACCGTAATCATGGCCTCGTTGAAGACCGTGGAGAATTGGAGCCGTGAGATCGGGGCGGGGCGCTATTTCTATCCTGCTGACAGAGAAATCCGTCTAGAGGTGAAGTCATGGCCAAGAAGCGAAGGTCGAGGGAATCGGCAATATCAGGAGCCACAACACCCGACATTCCAAAGGCGCGAATGGAATGTTTCTTGTCCCCGTGACGTCCATTGTAGCTTTCCTCGGACCGAGTTTTGCCAGGCACAAAAAAAAATTGAGCTGACTAGACAACGGCATCTGAATGGGTCAGTGTCTTATTCTTGGTAGAGCAGGAAGCATCAAGATGGCTAGTTCATTCTTTCCGCCCATGCAACAAAGGAACGGAAAGGACCATCTCGAACGATTCTGCCTGGGAGGACGGAAAGCGCCTAACATCCTCACTACCTACCTAGAAGTGCACAGACCCAGTTGAGGCCCAGTCCAGCCCTGTCCGTGCTTACCTTAATTCTGTGCTTACATTATTGCAGTCCCAGTCAGCTCCACGACAGGTAAGTGGGCTCCGCTCCGTCAGACGCCCAATCCTTTGGACTTGGATTGCTTCAAACGGTGTATTCGTACTTGATTCCCAAGGAGTAACAATTGAAGAGCCATCGGCTATGACTGAGGCGACGCAGTCATGTTCTGTGCGCAGTGCAATCTTCGCAGCAAAAGTGGCCAGCTTACCTAATTACTCTTTAGGTAGAGAACTCAGCGTTGGTGGAGACATGGACTCGCCAACTCTCTTCAACCTCCCTAACACGGTACACTGGCTGCTACCTTCCTGATTTGACCTCTCTGAATGGTTTCTTCTTATTCGCGCGTTGAATATTCCCAGCACATATTACTTCTGCTCTGAATCGATGGATAGACGTGCCAAGGTATCAATGATGTGTTCAGAACGTCACCCAGCCAGGCCGGCTCTCGCAATATGCATCGCTGCTGTGCAGTAATTTTAGGATGGAGTGTGGTCGTTCATGAATCACATGCACACATCTGGCTTGGATTCGGACGAGAATTTGATCTTGAATACCTAAGCCCATCTGACCTAAACGTTATCTGCCAAGTGCTCTAATACCTATCCGAGCAAGATAAGAAATAGGGGTCAGTGAGGACCTACGTACTTACTGCCGGGAATTTAGAGGTTGACGTGCTTCGGTTCCAAGATCGTCCCGGCGGCGCTTTGCGTCGGACGAGCAGCAGTCCCTGAGTTCTGCGAGAAACAAAACCCCCGCCCCCACACGATTACCGACGTCATCGGCCGATGCAGCTTCTAGACCTCCAACCTTCCTGTTTTGGACGTCCACGACGCTTCTTTGCTATTAAACCATCACTTACTCCAGTCTTCATCTCCTCACACAACCTTATCATACACTAGCTTCACATACCAAAACACATACGCTTTTAAGCATTCAGACATCAACCAACACACCAGAATCTCGGAACCATAACCGCCATCATGCCTCTCGTCGTACCTGGTATCAACAACAACGACTCCGATGACAAGACTCAGCTCTGGACCAACAAGCTGGTCGGAAAGAAGCTCCACGAGGAGGAGTCTAACGAGACGGTAAATTCAGCTTCCTCTCTGTGACAGAAGATTTGGTTGTACTAACGGCGATGCTTTCCTAGACCTTCTGCAAGAGGGATCTCCCCGAAGAGTCCCGTGTTATCGAGCCTGGCATGATGGTCACCAAGGACTTCAGACCCAACAGACTCAACGTTCACGTCAAGGAGGACGGAACCGTTTCTCACGTCAACCACGGTTGAGCTTTCGCAACGATGGATTACCTGCGCCTGTGCTCAGAAGGACTCTGGGCATCGGCAAAACCCCGCACGCGATCATGGGTTACGATAGAGCTTTTTGCATGACAGTATAGTTACGACATTTTGAAGAATTATGATTTTTAATCCCCTAAACTACGAGCTATCGGGATTTTTCGCTTTTCTCTCATCGATAAAAGTGACGTGATGGGATCACGAAGCCCCTCGCGCGTGAAGCGTCTGCCCCTCCATTAGTGCATGATTGGTCCGCCCCGCCCGCCCGACTGCGGGGCAATTTTCGTCGGCGATGCTCGCTCTTGACAACCCCACCATCAACTACCACCACAGACTGCCACAGACGCGATAGGTCTCGACAACGTCCCAAATACACCAGTGATACCCCCTTCTTTTCTATAGCAGACTTCGATTTCAATACCGTCACAATGTTCAAGAAAGAGTACGTCGCCATATGCTCATACACCCAATGACTAAACCACAGAAAAGTCGCAGGGAAAGCTAACAAAATTACCCCGCCCTCACAGCATCACCTCCAAGCCGAAGCAGAAGCTCAAGTCTTCCGTCCAGCGCTCCCTCCGCGACTCGCTGCTCTCGAGCTACCCCCTTCTGAACCCCTATATCGAAGAAGTGATGCCCAAAAAGGCCTCTCTCGAGCAGATGAAGCTGCCCGACCGCTGCTCGCTCTTCGTTTGCGAGCAGCAGCCCCTCTTCTACCAGCAGGACAACGCCACCCTCGTCCCGCACCTCAAGCTCGTCCACCGCTTCCCGCAAGCTTTTCCGACAATCCGCATCGACCGCGGCGCCATCCGCTTCGTGCTGTCGGGCGCCACGCTCATGGCTCCCGGGCTGACGAGCGCCGGTGGGCGGTTGCCTGAGCCTCGGGAGGGCGCCGAGGGCGTCGACGAGGAAGGGAGGTGGAGCCGAGAGCTGGAGAAGGGTGAGCCGGTTGTTATTATGGCGGAGGGCAAGACGGAGGCGTGTGCTGTTGGGTTCTTGGTTGCCGGTACCAAGGAAGTGAAGGATAAGGGCAAGGGGCCTGTGGTGGAGGAGGCGCATTTCCTCGGCGATGGTCTGTGGAGGCTCGGAACGGACTAGATATGGTTTGGGGTGGGGATTGGCGTATGGACGAAGAAACGGTTTTGCACATATGATATAAGGGAGAGAGATCCAGTGACAATGCAATATGGGCATAAGCATGAACAGAACCTAACAAAAGTTTGCCTTTTGATTGCACCATATCTTGCTGAGATGACACATTCGCTTTTGCTTTTGCTTTGGGATTGGTCGAAGGTGTGATTTCCCTGGCCATTGCTGATATGCTGCCAATACCTACCTTTAGTCTATCCGGGGGTAGGAATGATGGCCCAAAATTCACCGACAGCAAGGCTCGCGAGTGGAAAGTCGCCTACCTAGGTACGTCCAGCATCTCTCACCATTGACAGAAAGAGTTATCACGTTTCAGACTCGCTCTTCAGACAGCACATCTAATTAGATACCCCGGAAGCTACACTGAGAGCCTGAACGAAAATAACAGAAGGGAGCATGCCAATGTATTCTCTCCAAGTATGTAGCATTTGACTGGTAATAGCAAACGATGACGACGATGAGGAAAACATGGATTAATTGAGCCTAGTGTCAATTTATCTTGGGCCAGCTTTAAGGTCCTCATTCCGATGCATGAGAGCTTCATGATAATTAGGGAAGAAACCTGGCTATCTTCAACATCAATTTTGTCTGTCACATTTGAGAACTTGCTGAGACTCCCGGAATGTTGAGGATCATCGCCAGTATTGATGAGCTCATCTAGTCCCGGTCCATTGCCATTGCAGGCTCGACTTCCTTGGACTGGTACCAGCTTCATGCTTAGATGCGGCTGAATAGTGAGTCACCTGCATCTTTGAAGCTCAATGAGCCGTATATACAGTCCAAAATGACTCCGGCAGTCTAGTGCATGGGCAGTCTCTGACCGAAGAAGCTCTCAGAATCCATCTCACCACGTCACGCCGAGCTGTAGTGGTCTGTGCATTACTGGTATAAGAGTCACGTGGTGGTATGACATCCAAATTTTTCCCACGTTGCCCCTCATTGCCCCTCCATTACTCTGTACCTTACCTTACCCCTCAATTTCACGCCTGATCGTGTGTCTAGCTCAACCACCAATAACGACAAATCTCAGCATCATGGCCGACGAAGCAGCACCGACGTCCAAGAAGGGCGCGAAGAAGGCCGAGGCTAAGGCCAAGAAGGAGGCCATGAAGGCTGCGCGTGCGGCAGAGCTCGCCCAGCAAGCCGCCGCAGTCACTCTCGAGGATGACCCCGCCCAGGACAACTACGGCACCAAGCCTGTCTTCAGCAAGGATGCCGAAGAAGTCGAAATCCGCGAGCTGAACGATTCCCATAATGGCAAGACCGTCATCGTCCGTGCATGGCTTCAGAACTCTCGTGTTCAGAGTGCCAAGATGGGCTTCGTCGAGCTTCGCAAGGGAGGCAACTGGAACATCCAGGGTGTTGTCATGGCCTCTGACGAGGAGCCCATTGTCAGTCGCCGCATGGTCAAGTGGATCACCAGCATCAACCCCGAGAGTTATGTGGTTGTTGAGGCCAAGGTGAAGCAGCCTCTTGAGCCCGTCAAGAGTTGCCGGGTTTCTGGTCTGGAGCTCCACATCACCAAGTGCTTCGTCCTCGCACCGGCCCCCGCCATGCTTGGCATGACCATGGGAGCTGCCAGCCAGCCCATCGTCAACTTCAGCGACGAGAAGGCCCCCGTCGCCGACGCTGAAGCCGAGAAGGAGAAAGCTGCCGAGAACACAAGCACGGTGCCCTCCGCGACAATGCTTACCCATCTCGACAACATTGCCATGCACAAGCGCGCTCCCGTCCAGCAGGCCATTGCCGTACGTTTATACTCAAGACCAAGCTTCAAATGCTTTTACTGACGATACCGGCACAGGATATCCGTATCGAAGTGAAGAAGATCTTCCGGTCATACCTCGAGAACCAGAAGTTCAAGGAATTCGAGCCTCCCTGCCTCATCGGCGCTGCCTCCGAAGGTGGCGGTAACGTTTTCCGATTCGCATACTTCGGCGAGGAGGCTTTCCTCGCCCAATCACCCCAGTTCTACAAGCAATTTGAAATTGCAGGTGGCAGAGAGCGTGTGTTCAGCATTGGCCCCGTTTTCAGAGCCGAGAACTCCAACACCCCGAGACATATGACCGAGTTCACCGGTCTTGATGTGGAGATGGAGATCAAGCAGTCTTACACCGAGGTCCTTACCGTCCTGGAGGGCGTCCTGCTGTCCATCTTCCGTGGCATTCAGGGTGAGTTGACAACCATTCCGAAGTCCTCAACGTCAAAGATTCGTTCATTTGCAAATGCTAACCATGGTTCTTGTTGCTACAGAGCGCTGCGCCGACGAGATTGAGACCGTCCGATCTGTTTACCACTCCGAGCCCCTCCTCCTTCCCGAGCCCGGCAAGGAGGTCCGCTTGACCTTTGCCGAGGCCCAGAAGCTTCTTCGCGAAGAGGGCCCCGCCGAGTTCGCCAACGTTCGTGACGATGAGGACATGAGCACCCCTCAAGAAAAGGCCCTCGGAGAGGTCGTGCGCAAGAAGTACAACACCGACTTCTACGTCATCGACAAATTCCCCGAGACGGCACGCCCGTTCTATGCCAAGCTTGACGATGCCGGCACCACGACTGGTGAGGGCACTCGCGTAACGAACGCTTTCGACTTCTTCATCCGTGGTCAGGAGGTTCTCTCCGGAGGTCAGCGTATCAACGACCCGGCTGAGCTCGAGGAGCGCATCCGCGCCAAGGGCATCGACCCTGAGAGCGCCGGAATCAAGGAGTACCTCACGGTGTTCCGTCAGGTTGGTGTGCCACCCCACGGTGGTGGTGGCATCGGTCTCGACCGTGTGGTTGCTTGGTTCCTGGCTCTACCCAGTGTCCACCTGGCGGCGTACTACCCTCGTACGCCCAAGAGACTTTTGCCGTAAGGCGTTCCATAAGGGCTTTGAGTCTCTGTGGATCAAAAGGAGTGGCGTTCTTCGATATGGATAATGAAATGTGTCACGTTCGGCCATGTTGCGGACGCTGAAGGCGAAAAAGTCAAGATGACTCAAATTCTAGCGCTTATGTCTTATGTAGAAGAATCAACAATTCTGAAGATGCACTCCGAGGCTTCCTACACCCGATGTGAAGCAATTGACAATATGGTTTGTTCCCGTCGATGCTGACGTCCGAAAGGAGTCTGCCTTCTTCTCGCCTCGATATGCAATCCTCCTGACGCTTTTACCGAGTACAGCAGGTGAACTAATTAAATGTCAGCATAATTCAGATATGACCTGATTTCCCGTGTTAATTTCGTGTCTTACGTCAACAGAACACGGCTTGCCATCATCGCCAAAGTTGTATCCCTTGATCTCCCCGAATCTCTGTCCCCAGGGGCATGATTCTCTAGCGGTGCAGGAGTTGCCTTCCATCATGCCCGGGTTGTTGTATGGTCTGCATGAGGCCGCGATCGCGGGCGAGGCCAGCGCGGCTACGAATGCGAGAAGAGTTGCGAATTGCATGATGATCGAATTAAAGCGAGTGAGTTGGTGATCAGAGCTAAAAGATTTCTTTGGGTCTTGACTGGTTGATCCGGAGAGCTAGTAGGAGGGAACGGATATAGCTGAGAGGTCCCTCCCAACCATTTATACAAACAGGAACGCTCTCCTTACTCGGTATCGTATTTGCTTTTTTCCCCCCCGTATTCTACGCATTGAGGTTTGGACTAGGGGCCGCAAATCCGCATCGTCAAACCCCCTGGTGGTTTCGGGGAGAGAAGCTCGGTGATTTTTCATGAGAAGTGGTATTCGAGTCATGTACGGGCCTCCCTTTTGAACTTAATTATATTGATCATAGCCTCACAAGCTTTGGTAGACCACTAGCCAGCGCATATCTTTCGACATGGTTAAGGCGAATGCGCTGGTCAGCTGGGAGCAACCTGCGCTCTTGCGTTATCGGGAAATAGCCTGGTCATGTATCGTATGGAGAGCTCCGTCCTAACCACAACCACATTGGTGGAACTGGGTTTACATTGAAGCTAGTCAGCGACTCAGCATGGCTTTTGGGTGGACTGCTTATTTCCATGGATTATTCGGGGCTAGAATTATCTAGTCTACTGGGGGGTCATATGGAATTATTCCCCAGATGACTCTAGATTAATCATGGCCTGATAACCCGCGGGAAATATCGCTGCAGAGCTGCATGCATCGGCAACCAGTCTCCGAGGTCTTTAACCTTGGGAATAGTGTTATCGCTACTACTTTGGAAGTACAAGTATCATTTTCGTAGGATATTTTGAGGGACTGTTGTCGTGACTTGAACTCACAGTTGCATTGTGTACACAATTGACCGCCTGGTTCTCTGCCTTATAGCACTTGCTTAGAACCAAGGACTTGGTCGACTAGAAAGTCATGAGTGGCCATGACCACGCGCAGTTAGAAATGTTCCACCGGACGCACTTTGAACGTTAGAGCCACTTACACAGGAAACAATCTTGGCATCGAAAGCTTCCACTTGCTCTTATATTGATGACCTCTCCCGATTGATGCATAGATTCTCGCCAATCAGGATACCACATGGCATTTGGTGAATTCGGAGCCGGGACTTCTGCAGACATGCTGTTTTTGAGTGAAAGTCCATGGTCGAGAAAGTGGAGTCCAGAGTAAATGCCAGCCCACCTACGTTACTGAGAATAACGTACAGCTTTACTTACCTAAGACAAGCTGCTATTCATCCCTGTAACTTCTGGAGTGCTGCCTAGAATGGCTTACTCCCGCTCTATGCGGAGTACATTGGCAAGCCTACGCTATTTATGCCTGTTTCACGGCTGGTTCTGGGTTCGCGTTCTATAACGTGTTATCTTTCGCGCTACGCCTTAGGAAATCATGGCTTTAAGAAAATTTCACTGTTTCTTGTCTCTGCCCTTTGAGATTCGGCGAGAAATCTACTGGCTCGCCACCCTGCCACGCATCGTGAACGTTGAGGAAAAGACGGTGGTCGACTTTGACGAGTTCAAGGAGATTCTCCGCACAGATCCGGTCCAGCTT